ATATCTCATTTGCCTGTTCTGATGCTTATCTTTCACCTTCAAGGGAGAAGAAGATATGATCACAAAAGAAATGATTAGGACTAGCCTGAGAAAGTTTGAATCCACATGGCCTAGCCAAGAAAAAAAMCAGACTGTAAGACACTTGTGGTAGAAGCCCTGTTTACTGCTCCTGCTGCAGCCAGGCCACTGTGTAACAAGGAACATAAGGCCAAAAGGAGAGTTCCAAACTGGGAGTGAGAAATCCTGTGGTTTCAGTCTGTGTTCCCGAGTTTTTCTGTGTATATATCATCAGACAGCAGTCAGATAAAGACTGAAGCAATCCTGGAGTAAAGAGCAGCAGCCCTGCTGCAGCTCAGGGCCCTAGTTTCTGTAGATGGCAATCACTACCTACAAATGCCCTCAGAAAGAGCAAAAAGAGCCTTTTGCCAAAACCTCTGATAGAAATTATGCTCTTATCTTTCCCATAAAGCCCCTGAAAGTCTGACAGGGAAGTTGAGACATATTTTCGGGCCAAGACATGTTGTCAGACTGCCACTGTTTGGGCAATCACTTTGTTTTCTTGAGCTGCATTTCTATTTTGAGAATGACTGGGGAAAAACAAATCAGCCTCATTTTCAGCATTTATTCATTTGTGGTTTATAAGCTATTAGTTAGTTTTGTTGCTATTGTCCAATTAAAGTCAACAAGATTACATGAGCGTCACTGAAGACATAACTTGAAAACAAAGAGTCTGAGCAGCCCTTTTCCAGCAGACACAATGACTGAGGAACAGGCCAGCCTAGGTAAGGCTCCAACTTGAGTTCATATTGATTTCATTAGGCATAAATGCAGCTCATTTTCATATTAAAAATGTCAGAAAAACTTATACAGTGGGATAAAGAGACTCATTTAGGATGATTTTTCTAGATCTACTTTTCTAATACAATTTTTCATACCTGAGTGCAACTGCACTTAAAACCACTGGCTTGTCCTTCTCCCAGGTGTCCCGTAAGTCAAGCTGATCTGAAACTTCCTCTATTTAATGTAGCTTCCTCACCCTTGGACAGAAACTAATGAAAGAAATATTGTCAGGTACAGTGCAAAGTCCTTGATAAAGAAGTAATGAAAAAGCTGACAGAGGTTTGCAGGGACGTGTAACAATAATTCAGCAGGAGCAGGAACAGCTGAGATGCATTATAGCTCAGAAACATTTCTTTAAATTAGCACCTGTTTTTTGTTTTATTTTGTTTTGTTTTGTAATTAATTTAGAGGCATACTAGCAGGCCAGGATAAGGTAGAGCATGCTGAGGATATAGTGGTCYTAAAGTAAAGTGGGTTATGCAATTGTCTGTCCTGAGAAAGGTTAACAAGGTTTAGAAGATTGTATGTTTTGGGGAAAAAAAAGTAACTTTTTACAGGTCATCGTAATGTAATACTTCTTGCAAGTATTCATTTATCCTATTAACTTCAACTGTTTTTGCAGTTTTAAACAAATTTCCAATAGCTAATGGTTAAATTAGGAACATAAGATATTGTGCAGACTGATGATTCAATAAAATTGCAGCTCTTTCGTGTCCTTCTAGTGCTTGAGGGTAATGGCTAGGTTCAAGYTAATGACCACTCGGAGGTAGAATCCGCAGCAGGTTAGCAGCTCACCAGGAAGAAAGACCTTTACAAGTCTTTTTCTTATCAGACTTAAAGAAATAAAGTAGTGGAGTGGCACAAGCTATTTTTGTCAAATCCAGCTTTCAAAATCTTCTCATCCTCCCTTTACCTAGAAATAATAGCTGTTTCAAGATCTGGAAACAGTAGAGTAAACCAGGCCCTGTTCAGAGGTGTTATTGGTTTTCCATGCATTGCAAAGGTATGAAAGCCACAGCTGCAAGGACTATTTCTGGAGGCCAGGGAAGAAGTATTTGCCACAGAATATACAGAATCACAGAACGGTTAAGGTTGGAAGGGACCGCTAGAGATTATCTACTCGACCTGCCTGCTCCAGCAGGGACACCTAGAGCATGGGGCACCAGATTGCAGCCAAGCAGGTTTTTAAGATCTCCAGAGAAGGAAATGATGCCACAATCTCTCTTGGCAACCTGTTCCAGGGCTCTGTCACCSTCACTGTTAAGAACCTTTTCCTTAAGTTCCTGTGGAACTTTTGGTGTGACTATTTGTGGCTGTTTCCTCTAGTTCCATCAGTGTCCAMCACGGAAAAGAGGCYGCCCCCTCCTCCCCACTCCCTCCCTTGAGGTATTTATACACRCTGATCAGGTCCCCCCTCAGCCTCCTCTTCTCCAGGCTGAACAGGCCCAGCTCCCTCAGCCTTTGCTCAYAKGGCAGATGTTCCAGGCCCCTGATCATCCTSGTAGCCCTGCGCTGGACTCTCTCCAGTAGCTCCACATCCCTCTTGTMCTGGGGAGCCCAGAACTGGACACAGTACTCCAGATGTGGCCTCATCAGGGCTGTGTATAAGGGGACGATCACCTCCATCGACCTGCTGGAGACKCTCTTCTTAATGCACCCCAGGATCCCATTGACCTTCTTGGCCATGGGGGCACCCTGCTGCCTCATGGTCAACTTGTGGTCCGCCATGACATCCTTTCCATCCTTTCCAACGTCCAACATTCTTTCCAACTTCAGGACAGGTATGATTCTCTGAAATCTCCAATGCATAGAACACACTGTTCATTTTGGACTGAAACAGTCCACAGGACAAAATCAGGTGTCTACAGTGAAGAAGAAACTATACATGAGGCCTTTTGTCAGGGACATTCAAGGAAACTCTGAATATGAAGATGACTGGGACAAGTGAATTCAATGTATAGSTAATGTACAGTGCTTGAGAAAGGATGTAACCTTTTCAAATATGGTGTAGGATTCAACCACAATTGGAAAATACCAAAATTTCCCACTCCAGTGGGAGAAAACTGCATCCATGCACCTTCTCTGACTCTTCTAGGTGCAGTCCAGTCAGAAGAAATAGACTCCTTAAATTAAAAGGACCAAAATATTTTACTCAGAAGCTTGCAACAACACTTTATTGTATTTTGTAGCATTCTTTTCATGACATGCCTAATACAATATTTGTGGCCATCGCTAGAAGGATTTTATGTGGACATTTCATTAACTGCACTTGCAGCCAAATTTGATAGCCAAACAGACAGCAATGATAGCAAACAGGCAGCCATGGTTCTTCCTGTCCTTTTTTTTACAGGAAACCATTTAAAGTCCAAATCAGCAGCCCAGGATCAAAACAATCTTACTGTCTTTAACAATATTATGCCCTAGGTGCCCAATATATGCCCAATATTATGCCCTATGAACTTAATCTAAATGACGGAAGGTGAAAACTTCGTGTTTATTTGGAAGTCCACAAGCAGTTTCACAGAACATTTATGTACGGCTAACTACTGCATATTTTTGTAGCAACACTTCTGCTAGTTACATCTGGATATACTGTGCTTATAGATGCTTTATTCCCCTAGTTTATTTATAAATGATAAAACTCGTAAAACTAAGATTGTGAAATTTGTGAGATTTTTCTAAGTCTATGACAAACAGATTTTCAGGGGTTCATTTTATCTTCTCCTTGGTTTGTGATGGTAAGAAGGCAATGACAGTTCTAGTCCTAGAAATGGAAACACTTTTGTAAGTACCAGCAGCAATTCCAGCCATTTTCATGTGGACTTTTTCAGGCAGCCTGTGAAAATCTCCTCGAATGCAAGCCCAGTAGTGCAATACCACTAGTTTACATATTCTGAGCCCTTTAAATTTGCCTACAAGGAAAATGCAAAAGTGAGCATATGCAGGTGAAATATGTTGAATTTGAATAAATAATGAGCAACACTGGGAACCAATATTGGTGTTTGCTATACTTCTGAATTTGCACAGATTTTTCTTATATTTTTCCCATATTTAGATACTCAATTGCTGTATCTGACAGGATCGAGGCTAATAGAAATAAAATATTGTGCATTTTATTTGAAAAGCTACACATACAATCTTAGATACTAAGAGATTTCCGTGTTATTTTCTTCTTGACACTCAAAACATCTATCATCATCATGCTTCATCTTAAAAAAACTGTACTTCTTTCTGTGAGAAGTGTAGGGGCTGAGACTGGGACTGAGATAGAATAGCAGAGAATATTTGAGTTTAGAGTCTGGCAAATGTATTTCAGAGCTGATGTTTCCCYGTGAGGGTCCTTACAAGGTGGTTTAGCCATCTGAATGTGCTTTGCAAATGAGAAAAAAAAATGGTTTGTAGCTACTGAGAGATATGAAAAGATATTTAAAACACAGTAAAAAGTAAACATTTACTGGATTATTTTAAAGTATATTATGAGAACCAACAGGACATAACTTTCAACATGTATAATGTATTATACATAAAAATGCATAGATGTACAGTAAATATGTTTATTTATATGTATACAGAGTAATATGTACACATAGGGTCTGTTGTGCTTCTGGAACTGTAAGCAGTGACTCCGGTGGTATCGCCTCAAAGCAGTTTTAACGTGCTGCTCTTTCGATACAATGGGTGCTGAGAACACAGCATGTTAAGAAGGTGAGCCCTAGGTAAGTCGTATCCATTTACTCTTGAAGGGTACAAATGGAAGAAAGAAAGGCCATAACTGCAACGGTACCTACACCTCCAAGACTTCTGCTTTGCTATTTAGACATGCTCACATTGCCCAGCGGTGACATGGAGATTCCTGTCCTGCTTTTGTTCCAAGCCGACACGCTGGCCGCGCACTCAGACGAAACCTTAGATGTGCTTCAGCACCACTGCCACTGATTCAACTCAGTGCACTCCTGACCTCGAAGTCTTCAGGTCAAAAATAAGAGGGGAAAATAAAATAAAAAAATATATAAATAAAACAAACAAGCTCGTGGGTCTTTTTTCACAAGTTATTTGCCACCAATACTGTCAAAGCAGCTGAATCATAGTGCATCCATGAGCAGGAGCATATAGCAGCTTTTGTGCACTTTGCAAAATATATATTAAAAAAAATCAAGTCTTTACTGGCTTGTTTTATCTGTAGCTAGGAAGATGCTGTGCTGCTTCTGAGCCCTTTCCATCAAATTCTTTTTCTTCTTCTTCTTMTCCTTTGTTTTTGTTGTCCTTCTTCCTAAACAAGGAAAAACAAAATTATATGAATAGGTCACATAAGAATACAAAGGTAATATTAGGAGGAAGAAAGAACTCAGTGAGCAGGGAATTATTGATGGCAAGTGCAAATGTAATACTTAGYTAATAAATTCTGATCATCACTGGAAACAGAAATTTTCAATATGGTAAAAAAGGAAGTCAGATCCCTGACTGTCAACACTTGTCCACACACACATTTTGTTGGTATGAGTAACAACGCTTATGCAGCTCTCAGTTTCAACACGATAACTCACGCAAGCAAAGTTATGCTCTGGACGAGGGCCCAGAGCCAAGCAAGTGTGTACGTAGCCTCCTAACTCACTGAGAGCTGGATGTCTGCCTTAGACCCTTGTGTAAATTTGCTTGAGTGAGTAATCCTATTTAAGTCAAGTCCAATATATCCATGATTTCAATGAGAAATCAGGCATTACAGCCTAAGTATTTGGCTGGATGTGGTCCCACACGCTTTGGCAGAGACAATGTCCCTTCCGTGAAGAGCTGCTGCGAATGCTGGTGCCTGCACAGTGCCTAGTTCTCACAGCACGTTGCTGTGCAGGAACTGATGCTTCACTACGCGTTTTTTGTCCAACACTACCATGTTTGAAGTTAACTACTTCTGAAAAAAAATCCAAATCAGGAAATCAGGTTCGATGCAAAAAAAAAGAATCTCAAACTGAGATGAGAAAACTGTTTCCTTTGACCATCTCAGCAAAGATACCATGGACTGAAAATCTGCTGCATACAAAAACTCTGCTTCAACACTGCATACACTTAAATCCTTTCTACTTTGGTAAGATTTAAGAGGATGACTGAGGATTATCTTGAGTGAGAATCGTCTGGGTTTTATCAGCAGTATCAATGTRATCAATGGAAAAAAATCCTAGAGATATAGTTTCCTATGTTAACATATCCTCTGTTAACTCTATAAATCCTCAGGAGAGCTAAATTCACCTATGAAGATGAAAGTAGAAGAAAATTCAAGTAGCAGACAATACAATAATGCAATGAAAAGTGCATTTTTAAGCTAGACTGATAGTCTAGCTAGTATAGTATCAACTGGGAGAAATGTTTGTCAGTATGATCTTGTCTTCTATATTGTTTATCCTTCTCTGGAGGTCTTCAAAACCCACCTGRATGCCACCCTGTGCCACATGCTCGTGTCCCTGCTTGAGCAGAAAAGTTGGACTAGATGATCTCTAGAGGTCCCTTCCAACTTTGAACGTTCTGTGATTCTGTGATTCTGTGTGTTTCTTAATTAAAATCAAATCAATATGAAACATTTTTATCTACTGGATAATAACATTGAGATAGCGAATCTGATTCTAAAATTAATAACATTTAAGATTCATTAATGTATGGATAGAGTAAAGACTCCATATTTGTGACCAATATATCACGAGGCTACCATTCACTTGGAATAGTAGCGGCAATAGGACAGGGCATAAAAGTAATGAGAACATGAGTGTAGTTTTCTTCTGCTTCTCATTAAAGTCTGGCATTAACGCTACTGTGGCATTTTGCCATTTTTAAATCTAGTTAATCCTACACAGTAAAACCTCAGTCCAACCATTCATTAATCAAAGCAGCTTTTAAGTTTRAACTCTTTAGTAACAGTGTATCTAATAACTAGGCACACCTAATGAGGTCAGAGAGATGGATGACTTGACACGAAGTGGCATTGCAAGATGGTTTCAATTATTCTATCTTATACTTTAAAAACTCAAAAAAATTTAACCTGAAGCAATAGAGGAGGAGAAACAATTTGAAATGACTGATAATGGTGTTAGCGGGGAGACGAATGGAATCAACTAGAGCTTTACTGGAGTTTTGCTATAATATTTGCTGAGTGATCTTAGATTCTGAGTTTTTTCTCTTTATGGACCAATCAAAAACAACAACAAAATAATTTGCAGTCAGTGCCACATCTTGCTTTCTGTGCTGTCCTCCAGGAAAGTAAAGCAAATGCTTACTTTTAGTAAAAGATAGTAGGTAGTAAAGGTAGTAAAAGGTAGTAAAAGACCTCCACTTTTTTCCTCTGAAGACTCTGAAATGCAGAGGTAGAATGGCGCACACCCCCCATGGCATCTATTTCTCAAAGCTTTACAAAGTAGTCCGCTCTAACGCAAACATCAAATCAAATTGTCAGCATGCTCCCAATGGGATAGCTTAAAATAAAAAGGCAAGGAACTGCAGCAGACCCGAGTGATGTTACATGTCACCGTGCAGCAAAGACCAACCCTGCCACGACTTGGCGGCTGCGCCCAGGCCCGCACCGCCCCAGGGCCTGCGGAGCGCAGCGGAGCCTCCCCGCGTGTGACCGCGGAGGCCGGGCAGCTCGTCCTGGCGACTGCCAGCTGCTAATTTAAACAGAAAAATAAATGCTGAAAGGT